AGTATATAAGTAGCATATAAGTAGCACGGTTATATAAGCAGCACGGTGGCTCAGTGGTTTGCACTTTTGTCTCACAGCAAGAAGGTCACTGGTTTGAGTACCAACTGAATCTTTTGTGTGGAGTTTGCATGTTCACGTGGGATTCCTTTGGGTGCTCTGGTTTCCCATCACAGCACAAAGACATGCGATATAGGTGAAATGGGTTAACTAAATTTGCGTGAGTGTGTGAAAAGTATGGGTGTTTCCCAGAACTAGGTTGCAGCTAGAAGGACATCCGCTGTTGTAAAACATGATGGATAAGTTGGCAGTTCGTTTCACTGTGGCGACCCCTGATGAAAAAAGGGACAAAGCCGAAAAAAAATTATGAATGCACCCCTGCAATCAAACTCAACAGCTGTTTGACCATTTCAAGTTGTGCAAGTAAGTGTATTTAGCAGTCAGGCCTTGATGCCTTTTCAGGTTAGCTCATGAAGTTCACGGTCAAAGCTAAAGACAATCAGCAGCTCAATCTGACGCCGCTCATAGTCTCCCTGTAGCATCCTTAATTACCTGTGCTAGGCCTGATGCATTTCAACCAGGACACACTGCAAAGACAACCTTGTTCTTTTTACAAGCTGAAGTGAAGTCAATGAGGATTCTGTTCATGTCGGAACACGAACATCGCTTCTGGACAGCGAGTGTGATCTGAATGTGCAATTAAATTTACACCATTAGAGATATTCTTAGAAGGATGGGACTCTAGCAGTGTTACAGTCAGCTCTAAATATTCAGAGCCTCAAAAAACGTGAATGCTGTTGTTGAGTCCAGATGACCACAGAACAAACCAACTCCTGTTAAGAATATAAAACAACTTATTATAGTCAGTCTACTGAAAAAGAATAGCACATGCTGACTGTGTTGCAGTCAAACAATTAATCATTAATCATTCATGGTTTCCAGGAGAGAGAACAGGATACTCACTATTGATGTTTTCTTATTCCTTTTATCAACAGAAATAGTCCAGCAGAGGGCAGCATGCATTAGTGGAAAATGGAGAGAGAGAGAGAGAGAGAGAGAGAGAGAGAGAGAGAGAGAGAGAGAGAGAGAGAGAGAGAGAGAGAGAGAACATCGAAAGGACCGGCAGAGTTTGATAACAGCTATTAAAAATATATTTTCCTTTAAAAACCTGTTGCAGAGCAGCTTTGCCCATAATGTGTTCCCATGTGTCAAATACTTTATTTACTTTAACTGATATAGTTGTAATTTCTGTTTTACAACCGTAAAAATAAAATTAACCAGAATATAAAATACAGTTCTATAATCTAAGCAACACAAATACTCACAAACATACACTCATATTTATTTCATAAATTGGCCAATTCTGAAAGTTCTGTAAATGCATGACAATAACATTAAACAGAACAATAAAAGGAAACCAAATATTGTGTTTTTGTAATAATGAGAAAGGGAGAGAGAGAGAGAGAGAGAGAGTGCTCATGCACGTCGTCATTCTTTGAAGTCTGAATTCAACACTATGCTTTTGATCAATTCTGGGTGGCATATGATTTATTATTACTATTTTAACTAAACTATTGTGATCTTTGTTAACGATTAATCAGATACAACAAAATATGTCTACCTGGAATAGGAGATTATTAAACTAAACTTTTTTCAGAAAATTTAAATGTTTGTGTATATTTATTTTTACTTGGTCTATAAAAAAATCTGTATGTGCAAAATTATTAAAAAAAAAATATTTAGTTTACATTTTTGTAAGTGCTACTTGTTCTTACAGCAGGTTCACACTTGTTGACATTATTTATAAATTATATTTTCCACTGGAGAATTTGTGCACATAAATGAAACAAATCAGAATGTATATATATTTATATATATTATTTATTTATTTATTTTTTTTTCAGTCTTTTTGTTTATCCCATGAATATCACTTTGAAACAGTGCGTGTTACATCTAACAAACATTACCAAAACAACAATCCTCGAAAAGAAAACTAGTTTTGAACCGGATTTGTGTGAGAGTAAAAAAATCTTTCTTTCTTTTTAACAGTCTTTACGAGAACACAGTATCAAAAACCACATCGTCCCCCTCCTACACAATCCACGGATACCGTGTTCTCTATCTTCCTCCCACAAAGGTCATCAGCGACGAACAGAAACACAGGTATTCTGAATAGTAAACAATGAGTTTGGCAGGATCATTTCAACAATGTGAAAATGTGTTCGAGCCATTACCCTTTATAATACCATAATTTGATGCTTGTGCCTCTTTGTATGCATCTCAGATATTTGAACAATGAAATGATTCAGTCAGATGATTCATGATTACGCAGCATTATTCATTCTCTTATGTGATCATAAAACAATGATATTTGGTTCCTTTTATTGTTCTGTTTTCTGTATTGTCATGCATTGCAGGCAATTTATAAAGATGTGTGGGTATTGTTTATAAGTATTTTTGTTGCATAAAGAATTTAGCATATATATATATATATATATATATATATATATATATATATATATATATATATATATATATATATATATATATATATATATATATATATATATATATATATATATATATATGTAATGCATAATCTGGTTAATTTATTTTTTTTATGTGCTACCTGAGACCAGGTTATGAGTAAAGTTGCTCTGCAAATGATTGCATAAGAAAAAAAAAACTGTTCATAGCTGTTATCAAACTCTGTCTTTGTTTAGAGTGTTCAGCGAGCTTTAGTGTGTTTAAAAGCATAGATTAGTTGACATCTAAGTAAATAAAGACCACAGGAAATGTGATTCTGGCGTTTTTACGCCCACGTTCGTTAAAAGAAAACATTGTTGTGAGGTGGTGTGAATTGCCTGAGTTGCTGATATAAAGTTGCATGATCCACATATATATTTTTTTACTTTTCTCTGGTATTGTCTGATATTGGGTTTTACTGTTAAACCCGTACCTCAGCATCTTGCTGACTAGTGAAGAAAGGAAACATATAAGTCATGAAGGAAATAAATGATCATAGAGGTGTATATTTATATCAGACAAGAAAACTGAGGATACGTAAAAAGATTTATATTTAGACTGTGGTGTCTTTTTCTCAAGAATGCTCTTCCTGAATGAACTTTAACAACATCACCAAGTCACTTTAGTGCAGGTTTTTTTTTCTTTCTTTTTTATGGCTGCCCATGTGTTATGGACCTCCATTCTATAATCTAAAAGCTTGCATAAACTGAATGACTGAATAAAGAAACAATTCTGCAAAGAAACAAATATTATCAATGGGACTAAATAAGAATATTATTTGAAAAACTATTTAGTTAAATAAGTTCATTTTATTATTGTAGTACTGAATTTTGTAATTAGCTATATATAATTTGATAAAGAATATTATTCATTTTATGTCAATTCATACTAAAGATGGTTTATTATTTAATTATTTTATACTGTGTTAGCATGCTTACATGTTTGTTAATTTAATCTAAAATTAACTTCAATATTATAAATATAAGGGGCGTCAAGGTGGCGCAGTGGGTAGTACAATCGCCTAACAGCAACTCACAGCAGGTCACTGGTCCGATCCTCGGCTGGGTCAGTTGACATTTCTATGTGGAGTTTGCATGTTCTCCCTGTGTTCACGTGGGTTTCCACCACAAGTTCAAAGACAAGCGGTATAAGTGAATTGGGTAAGCTAAATTGCCCATGATGTATGTGCGTAAATAAGTGTAATGGATGTTTCCCAGTGAAGGGTTACAGCTGGAAGGGCATCCACTGCGTAAAACATATGCTGGATGAGTTGGCGGTTCATTCTGCTGTGGCAACCCCAGATTAATAAAGGGACTAAGCCCAAAACAAAATGAATGAATGATTATAAATATATATTTATTACCCTATGTATATAGGTAACTATTCTGAGTGTTACCAAGTATCCTACACTCTCAGAATTAAAGGTTTGTGAGCTGTCTCTGGTGTGGTACCTTTTCAAAAGGTACAAACTTGTACCTAAAAGGTCCATATGAATACCTCAAAGGTACATATTAGTACCTAAAAAGTTTCCTCTTAAAATTTTAGGTACTAATAAATACTTTTAAGGTACCAATATGAACCCTTTAAGTACAAAAGTGTGCTTTTTGAAAATGACAGCTCGTATACCTTTATTTCTGAGAGTGTAGAGTCCCCCTGAACTGTTTATGGCCCCTAGGTGTCCCAAGATCATTGATTGACACCCCCTGCTTTAGAGCACTTCAATGATTCATCATAGGTTAATGAGCTAAACAAGCACTGCACATGGTTGAGTAATTTGATGAAGAAATATTATTATTAGTATTTTAACTCTGTTTCTTGTGCTATACTTCGTGGAACAACGATTATGTATTCAATTAGAGAGTGTGTTTTCATGCTAGAGAAATGTGCACAAAAATACATGTTTGGGTGAGTGTGATGACGAATTAAAGAAAGTTCAGTATGTTTACTTCAAAGCATTTAACCCTAACTAACCTCATGAGTAAATGGCCAGACACTCAAGCTTTCAGTGAGGCACACAATGTTGATGTACTATTATTTTATTTAACAGTTCATGCGGACTGCTACTGTCATTAAGCAAATAGATACACATTAATATTGTAATGCTAATAATGAAACATAATCTATAAAATTGATGAATGCAAAGCTGTTTATTTCTGTATTTATTAATCTACTTACCATATGGAACAAATGACCCCACAATGTAACGTGTAGTAATAAATAGATACAAAATAAGTTATTTTAATGATCCAATTTAAATTAGTTAAATTAGTTTACTTTAATATTTAAATAAATGTCCAATGCATAATTTATAGCATTATTAATAGCATAGTAAACTACACCGAAACACGTGCTTTCGAAAGCGCACGACTGATTCAACTGTAGTTCTGTCTTCACAGAAACTACAACACCCATAAACCCACTGCGCTTCTGTGTGTGTATGTGTGCATCTGTGTGTGTGTGCGCGCGCGCGAGTGACTGAGTGCGTGTGTGTGCGCGCGCGCGCGCTTGTGTTGTCTGCCGACTTGGCTGACGTCACCGCTGGAACTGCCCTGTCACGCGCTGTTAGTAAAAGTTGGGATAGGAGCTAGAGACGGAGAGCAGCAGCGAAATTACGGACGAACTCGATCAACGGTCGCGCTGACGCACAACCCTCACCCCCCCTTCACGCCACGGGCTAAAAAAAAAAAAAGTTCCGACCGTCGCTGCGAGTTCGCTGAATCCCTGCAGAAGGTCGAGCAGTTTGGATTATTCTGAGGGACAAGCAATAATATTTTCTGCTCGGACTTAGAGAAGTACAGCACGGAGGAAAAGTTTAAAAGTTTTGCCTTCATTATTAGTCAATGTAGTGAGTTTATTAAAGAGTCGGTGTACATAGACGGGTGAGCCCGAGCTGTCAAACCCGATGACTACTGCAAACTGCCCCGGGAATGAAGAGCTGGACTTCAGACTGATCTTCGGGGAGGACGGGCAGCAGCCGCCGCTAGGCCCCGCAGGTCAGTGCCTCTACTTCGGGATACTCTCGCACAGTCTGTCGGTATAGATTAACTCATGAATCTTTCATGGATCGCAAAGGCGAAACACGTTATTAAAAGCAGCAGCAGCGCGCGCCGCTGAAACCACCTCGCTCGCCGGCTTCTCTTCATACCAGCAGCTGCAGTTTTGTTTAGTTTTTGTGCGGTTGTAAATTCAGCCAATGAAAACGAGAAGGGGCAAGTTTAGGCGGCCGAGTCAACTAATGTCTAACCAAGAAGCACCTGGACACCCTGTCCTGAAGACGGTCATAGCGGCTCCAAACCTTGTTAGCTGCCTGCCTTGACAGCCTTTTTGAGCAACATTGGCGCCTTTAAGTGGTTTGAGACAGATCCACCATCAGTCTGACAGCTGCTGCACAGTCGAATGCTATAAAAGTTTCTGTTATCACTCGCCCCTGCCTTCAACTTGAGCACATGGAAAAAGTTTCAAACCAAAAGTTTCCACTAATACTAAACTCAACACTGTTTCGTTTCTCCATTTATTATTTGCGGCGGTACACAGACAGTAGTTACTGTAGCTCTGTCACTTTGCAAGTTACACAGATATAATATCAAATGTATGAATATTCAAATGAGGGAGGTCTTTTCTTAATAGTAGTTTTCACCTGCCCATTTTGGGGTAAATATTATCTAGTAAGAATAAATAGATTTGTTGTGTAGACGTTTATAATTAGTCTATTATTTTTAAAATATACATTACAATGCTATAATTAATTATTGTAAGCATTAAACCTCTCTGCAGAAGTGTTCTTGTCTATGCCATTTACCTCAGCTATGCTTAACTATTTAATTAACTGTTATTACAGCCACAATACAAGCTTTCTGCTGCATAGTAAACACCTGAATAACAACTTTCTTTGAGAGTGATAACTGTATTTTTAACAATACTGACTCATTAAACAGCTCTGCATGTGTACCCACACTAAATGACAGGAGGAGTTTGATGATTTCTAAACACATTTGCAACGTCTGCAGTGCAGATTATCTCCAGTTTGCTACCACCAGACATAGCCTGTGTGTGTGTGTGTTTGTGTAAATTGCCTAATGAAAAAACAGTGTGTGAGAAGCAGCAACCCTATCAGCGTCTGTCAGTGTGCTGGAGTGTGTCGTGAAGGAAAGAGATTTGGCTATAGTGAAAGCAGAATGCCTGTTTGTGGGTGGACCCCTGTGTGTTTTTGCTGAAGTTTTGCATGTTTTTTTTTTTTTTGAAAAAACATTGCATGATCTGTGAATTGCGTGTAGGGATTTCATGCATTACCTACCTAGGCAAAATAGGACTGATGGTTTTGTGTCATTTTAAAAGAATAATCGCTGTGCTTTGCTTATAATGTAAAATACAGCACTATTTAGTTTTGAGCCGTTTTTCAGTGTAATTAATAGATGAGGCTTTGGTACTTTATAAAATGCATGAAAGTTCACTGCTGATGTTGATAGGAAAAAATATATGAAAATTGACAGGGGAAAGTGAGAAATCTAACAAGTTGGGAGGATGTATTTGGACTGAATGTTGGAAATGAAGTGTCCAAGTGGTGTTTAGTCTGCATAATTTGGACACATAAATGCAAGTGTTATGAGAGAATTGTGAATAACAATTGGATATATAGTTTTATCTTATTATTTAAGCTATATGTAGTTCAACTTTATCTTAAATAATTATAGAGTATTAAGGGAAAAAAGAAAATAAACTGACATGTTATATGTAGAAAATATGTATTTTTTTACCGAGTTTTCTTATGACTCATTGTTTTGAAACATAAGACTATATGCAGAAAAAATGCATTGGTTAAATCTGAAAAATACTAACTCTTTTATGATGTTGTTTTAATTTAACAGACTTTCTGAAAGGTAAATAGAAGCAAATTAGTTGTTAAACAGGTTTTATCCTGAGTTTTGCGGCTGTCCGTTCATGCATGTCGAAAAGTCATCAGGATTTCAATGCGGCTGAAGGGCAGGGCTGTTGATACTATACACACTCATCAGTGTTTTCTGTGCCTCTGGCTGTTTTTAGACAAAAGATAACTGATCAGCTTTTGTCTTGTGTTTGTTAATAAAGCTGAGACCGTTTAATTTTGATTGGCACTGTCTTTTCAGAATGTCAAAATATCACAAGATCCTATTTAATTTGAATAACTCTGTGTTTGTTTGTATGTGTATTTATGTTACATTATTTTATTATCTCATTTAATGATCAAAAATGCAGCTTTTATCTATTTAAAAGGGAACTTTCATGACTTTATGTTGATTATTGTACACATTCGGAGCAGCTATTGGTTTAGTTCATACTAATTAAATGTTTATGAATTGTAGCATGCATGCACCTTTTCAAGAGTAATTACAGTAATTTTTCTAAAATGTTGTTCATAGAAAAAAATAAACTTTATTATGGTTAAAAAGTTCAAAAAATGATTCAAGTAAAAAAATACTAATAAGACTGATTCAACAGCAGTGTGAAAAGGTGTGTGTGCACGTCTCACACAGAATTATCAAAGCACGAGTCTGTAACACCTCATTTATTATTTGTTTGATTCTACACTGAGAAAAGTCAGTGTACAACATAATAAGCAACTAATTTGGATCTCATAGTACCTTAATTCTGATTATATCTGCAACCCTGTTACTGAGTAAGTTTTACTCACTCACTTTCAGATTATTTCCTTCTTTTTGAAAAAAGACATGACCATAATGCAAAAGTAAGTTGAAGATGTTTGGAAGGTGGCAAAATCCTCTTTACACTGAATTGTGTAAATGTGGATGGTAGTTTATGTTTTAATGATCCATGACACCAGTGAAATTCATAACTACACTCTATAAAGCTCTGTTAGGTTTCAGTGTTGTTTAGTCCAGAGTGAAATCTGACAGAAGGACTGTCTGCTCGTTTGGTTAATCTGTGAATATTTGCATTGTGTCTATCGTCACCTTAAATGACCCACCACAGATGAACGTGAGCACATGTGAGGCAGCTTTCAAATGTAACATTTTCTGTGCATTTTCTCTCACAGAGTGACAATAGTTTTGGGAGCAGAATATTAGAAACTGTAAACATGTACTTGAAAAAACACAATTTGTTATTTACCTAATTTATTTATTTGCATTTTTAATCAATAAAAAATTCTAAAAGATTTAACTTAAATGACCGTGTTTTTTCTGTCGCAGGTAATTTGTGTCAAATTAAAAAAATTTAACACCATTTTATTATTAGTGAATCTGTTGTTTGTAGATTATAATATTTCTGAAGATAACCCAGGATGTTTCTGAAAACAAAAAGTCATTTCTTTTTTCATGAAACAATAAAACCTTTTGTATATAATAATAAAAATAATAACAACAACAACAACAATAAAAACTACAGCTTTTACCAAAATATATGGTATTATCACAATATTAAGAAACTTTTTTATTGCTATAATAACAAAAGGAACAATTTTTAATGTATTTTTTTCATGTGTTATTGTTTATAAATGCTCAGAAGAACTTTCAAGCAAATTAAAACATGTTTAAAGGTGCAGTAGGTGATCTGCCAAAATGCTAATCAGAAAGCATAATATCTACGCCTCCTGATATCATGAACGCGCACCGTAAAAATGACTGTAGACAACCCACTAGATCATGTCATTCGCCAGTTAGATAACTTGATAGAACTTTATAATACTACAATTCTGAACAAAAAGCTGTACTGTACTGTACTAAGCTAAATTTGTCATAATATGCGATATTTCATGCAAGGATTGTTGGTCTCACTCTCCCACGTGCTTTGTCCTTAAGCGACAACTGTATACTTAGTGTTTGGCTGGCGGGGTGCAAGAATTATACTTATTACTAAGCCATACATGCATGCTATTTCAGACCGAATATTCAGAGTAGCATGGTAAACAATATCGGGAGCGCATCACAGGTTGTCATTGTTCAAAAATTAACAAATGTGAAAAATAAAACTAACTTCACCTCAGTAAAGCAGGCTAGGTGGAATAGCGCTATTTATTTATGTTTTGTTGTTAAACTAAATAAAATTCTACATTATTGATGCTGTATAAGGTCTCTTATGAAATTGAAAATAGTCACATCAAGCGTTTGCTGGATGATTTCAGTGGCTGAACAACACTTCTGTGCATATAACCCATTCGAAAAACAACAGGATCTACATGAGCTTTGCGTGAATAAAATAGTTTTAAAACAGAACATTACCTGTCCAACAGAAATACTTCAGCCATGGTGTCCTCCTTCCTCTGGCGTGCAAAAGTAGCTCCAATATTGATTCAGGATTCTAAAGTTTTTATCCAGCATTTGTTTTTACCAAATGGCAGATCTGCATGAACGGGTGCGCAGATATACAAATCTACTTTTGTTGACAAAGAGTTTGGGCAACTTATCAGAATTATGGGAATTGTCGGCACGACAATTTTTAACTGGATGGCCATTTTTTAATCTTATGCCTTACCCAGAATATAAAAATACAAATAAATACCTTTAGATCATTTACTTGAATCATTACTATTGGAATGTAAAGAGACTTTTAACCAGCACAACAAAAAATGTTTCTGAAGACAATCACCTACTGCACCTTTAAGGTTATTATGTTAGTCTAAAAAAAGTTTTCATTAACTTTTAGTTATTAGCTATGTTAAATAATGTGGTTACATTGTTTGAAAAGTGAGATCATTTAAACATTAACTTATAAACTTAATTACCATTACCTAAGATTAATGCATTTTTTAAAGATATTTTTCCTGCAGTTTCTGTCATCAATTGTAACTTTATTGTAAATTGTTAATGATCAGTTGGTCTATAAATAATCAGAACATTTTCAATTAATATCTCTGGCATACTGTAGGCCATATTAACATGTTATTTAAAGTTTAAAAATTAAAAGCCTTATAAATGGTTCTGTGATGAGCCACTGCAAATACAGCAAACTGAATAGTTTTAAAATAATCACTCCTAAAAACATTTAAATAATTAATAAA